TAGTTTGTTATTGGCAAGTTGGAAGTGGGATTCTTCCCACATCGGAAGAAAGAAGTTATGTGCTTATTATGTGAAACACCTTCGTGACCGACCTTACTCGTATCGTGTCTGTTAGCCTCGGAATTGATCATTATGAAATAGCACATAAAAGGCACGAGATTGACTCAACAGGCACGAGACTGTCTCAACAGGCACGAGACTGTCTCAACAGGCACGAGACTGACTCAACAGGCACGAGATCCTAAAGTTATTTATAGTCGTGTCTGTTTGTGAAACAAGACATCTTTTTTGAAAGGGTCTGTTGGTTGCCTATAAATACACAAGAATTCCAGCGAAGTGAGATAGAAAATTACAAGTGTCAACAGGCTTTGTTGTATCCTGAAGAGAATCGTTTTGTATTTTCCCTAAATTAGTATACAGGCGATAACTCTTTAAGGACAGTCGATTTTCACGCCTCACAACCAATTTTGTTTATTATTTTCTAACAGTGGAGCTAAAAGAATATGTGTTGTCCAATGCTTCTCCCTTTAAAGGTTGTGTCAATGTTAAAACCCTAAAACTCATTGCTATCCATTTAAAGTATGAAACCCTAAACGACATCGTTCGTAATTGTACCTCCTTGGAGAATCTGAGCCTTAATGCTTGTAGCAAGCTTAATATTGATATTCAGCACAAGAAACTCAAGATAATAGAGATTAAAGATATTGATATATAGGGTGTTTAGCTAAGCTTATAAGCTGGTCAAACTGGCTTATAAGCACTTTTTGGCTTATCTACACGTTTGGTAAAATTAAAAGTGCTTATAAGTTAAGTGCTTATAAGCCAAAAATAAGCCAAAAGTCATAAGTTGGTCTCCCCCAACTTATCAAATTTCAGCCTATAAGCACTTTAGATTTGACCAAAATATTTACTATTTTATCCCTAAAATACTTATTTTTATAACAAAACTCTTCGTATACACAGTTCTTTAGCTAATTATTATTAATTTCAGCACTTTTATCCAAACACATAACTGTTCATTTTTAAATCAGTTTCTGCACTTAAAAGTGCTTTTCAGCACCTAATGCTTATCAACTACTCTAAATCAGCTAAGCCAATAGGGCTCATAATGAAATTTATATCTGATAGCTTGACTGAGTTGGTGTTTGAACCTAATTCCTGTTACTCTTCCAAAAAATCTCATATTGCCTGTCCGAACCTTCGGGTTCTCCGGACTAATAGCAAAGAGCTGCTCGAGTGGTGCACCGGTTTGAGGCCAGTAAGTTTTTCTTTTCTTTTTTTGAGTTAATTTTCGCACAATTTCTTTATTCAATATTTGTTGAAACTTGATAATTACAGCAACAACAACTACCCAGTAAAATCCCACATAGTGGGATCTGAGGAGGGTAATGTGTACGCAGACCTTACCCCTGCCACGATAGGGGCAGAGAGGATATTTCCGATAGACCTTCGGCTCAGAAAGACGAAAATAAAGTAAAAGAGGAAAATAAAGTAAAAGAGGAGAGAATTCATTAGAGACTCCAATAGAAATCGTAATAGTAACATAAACATAAAAACCGAAAGATGAATGACATGCAATAACAGTAACCATAATCTAAGGCCCGGGGCTAAGACAAACAACAAGAATAGTGTGGGTCCAACATAAACTGCAAGCCATCTATGACCAACCCTAATCCAACCCCGCCTCACCCCCGAAATGAAGTAAGGAGAGCTTTACTACCCCTATCCTACAACCCTAATGCTTGACCTTCAGGCCTTCCTATCAAGGGCCATGTCCTCGGAAATGTGCAGCCGTGCCATGTCCTGCCTGATCACCTCTCCCCAATATTTCTTAGGTCTCCCTCTACCTCTTCTCGTACCCACCACGGCCAACCGCTCACACCTCCTCACCGGTGCATCGAGGCTTCATTTGTTTATTGGATCTAGTGTCGAGATTATGAACGCTATGAGTACGGAATCCCTTTGACCGAGGTGCGTGTGTATGCACCAGCTTAGACTTGAACAACATGAATGACAATATTGTGCTTAACTACATCTTCAGGGTGTGGAGCCATCTTCAAACGCTTGATATCACTAATCAGGTTAGTATATTTATTTCCAAGAACTTGATAATATATTATAGACTAATGTAGACGGATATGGCGGGTTCTGTTGGTTCAATAAAACCTACTACTATTAGTTTTGACTTGAATGATGTATATATGACACATATAATTGGTATAGATATACAATTATTAAGATCACACTAGTTGTGAATCCACTTTAGATTCTGGATTTTCTACAATAATAACAACAATAGCAAATCCAGTGTAATTCCACAAAGTAGGGTCTGAGGAGACTAGTGTGTATTCAGATCTTACCCCTACCTTATGAAGGTAGAAAGGCCGTTTCCGATAGACCTTCGGCTCAAGGAGAAATTCTGGATTTTCTACAATAATAACAACATCAGCAAACTAAGTGTAATCCCACAAAGTGGGGTCTGAGGAGGGTAGTGTATATGCAAACCTTACCACTACCTCATGAAGGTAGAAATGTTGTGTCTGATAGACCCTCGGCTTAAGGAGAGATTCTGGATTTTATTTGAGAATACTTGTGAAACTAGGAGGGGAGCCTTGGCGTAACTTGTAAAGTTGCTGCCATGTGAGCAGGAGGTCACGGGTTCGAGCCGTGAAGACAGTCTATTGCAGAAATGCAGGGTAAGGCTGCGTACGATAGACCCTTGTGGTCCGGCCCTTCCCCGGAACCCGCGCATAGCTGGAGCTTAGTGCACTGGGCTGCCCTTTTTAATACTTGTGAAACTTATATTCCCCCACCCCCACCCCACCCACAATGATGCAGGTTGACAAGACTCGAGGTTCTAAAGCCGTTCTACCTCAAGAGGATATGTTTTGGGAAACTAAAGAGTTTCCATATTGTTTCACTCATCATCTGAGACGGGTGCGGATTAGAGGGTTTACTGGAAAAGAGCATGAAATCAGACTTGTAACTCATATGATAAAGAATGCTTGTATGTTGGAGAAGCTAGTGATTCAGTGCAGTAATGGTTGTTCAACACAAGGAGCAGCTGCTACTCAGGGATTACAATCTGTGTCCAAAGCCTCTATTAATGTATCTATAGTTTTGAATATGCCTGGAGATTAATATTTATTATCAATTTTAAAGTTGGATATTGACACTTTCATTGTCATTTTCTTCTATGAAAATCCTGTTTGCATTGTAATTTTAGTAATAGTAAAAGTCAACAACATTACATTAAGAAGTGTTACTCAAATAGTTAGGTTGAAAGAATTGCACAATCAATTTCAGAATTAAACTTTGTGAGAAATTGACACCATTTAATGGAGGCAAGAAATCATCTTAATCAGTTATGTTGAAAATTAACCGAACCGTACCGATATCCAAAAGAAATTGAGATGATTAGGATGGTTTTAAAAAGTCTAATATTGGTATTACCAAAATGAAGTAAGCATTGACACTTCTACATAATAGCATAGATGACTTGGAATTTGGCTTAATTACAAAATATTAGAAATAGATAGACCTAAAATCAAGAAATAAAACATTACAAAAGATTTAAATATCTCCCCATCCAAGCATATCTAGCAAAAGATAGAAACCAATAATAAAGGTTGAAAATCTAACACCAACTAGAAACTAATGCTTACTAGAAGAGTTTTAGAATATTAAAGATGTAACCACAAGAGTATGAGCCTTGCCAAAACAAATCAACAACAACAACAATCCAGTAAAATCTTACAAGTGGAGTTTAAGAGGATAGTGTGTATGTACACCTTACCCCTACCCCAGAGAGAGTAGAGAGGCTGTTTCCGATAGACTTTCGGCTCAAGGAGTTATATCAGTACAATCAACAGAAATCATAGAAATAATAACATCATTATAAGAACCAGAAAATAGATGAAAAACAAAAACAATAACCAGTAAATAAGGCTCGGCACTATGAAAAAATTCGCCTTGCATACCAGATCATTACGCACACTGCTATGATGAACTAATTAAGTCCTAGCGCATAATTGAAAGCTCAACACAACCATCAACACAGCGATCGCTGATTCCACCTAGCAGCAACTACTGGCAAAGTGGAGCCTAATCTTTGTAAGTGTTGAAAGAGCCTCTTCCATACTAATTCTTGCATCAGGTATCATCACAGTGCAACTCAAAGCTAATTCCATGATAGATAGCAGACACTGCATCTTTGCATCGGTTTGTTCATCCGCTGGATGTAGCAAATTAGCATCTACCACCTTATGAATTCCACCTGGAAAAGAATCGCTAACAAAACTTCTTATGCTCAATTCTCCGGTAAATATATCATCGCTTGGTCTCATTCTTGTAAACGTCTCCATCATCAGGATGCCAAAACTATAAACATCACAGCTCGTGGATACTATACCATCCTGTCCATACTCTACAATCATGCATGGTAAAAAAATGATCAAGGAACATGCTAAGCACTATTTAGGTTATTTTAAAAATGTAAGTAAAAAGTTCTGATACCTGGAGCGATATATCCTAGGGTTGCAATTGTACGTGTTTGAACAAAATCCTCCCCTGCATCCAACAATTTT